AAATTTGTTTTTTTTTTTTTCTTATTCTTTTGCAAAAGACAATTAGGAAATGGTACTTGAGCAAGAGAGAGAGAGAGAGAGAGAGAGAGAGAGAGAGAGGGGGGGAGGCGAAAGGATATGCATGTGGGCCGTAGATATGCGTAATTTCAATTAATCGCTAGCATAGGGTATACCCCTAATAGCAACTGTCATTTGCAGCTTTTTTCCGCTATCTCTGTAATTTACATTTTTTTTTAAGTTTCCTCTGCGCTTTTTCCTTTTGTGTTTTACTCTTTTGTGTACCTTTGTTGGCCGCTGGCTGTTAATACTATTATATTTTCATTTGCACGCGGATTAGTGTTGAAATGGAATCGAATTGGGATGTCTGTATATATGTTAGTGTGTGTGTGTGTATTGGAGTATGGAGCAGAGTGTGTCGACTGCATGTGTGCATTTGCTTTTGAAGTGATTTTTAATTAAAGTGCAGCGTTAATTGCATTAATCTCAGTGTTTACTTGGGCATTAGGTTTAGCAAAGCTAGCTAAAAGAAGAGAAAGAGAGAGACAGATAGAGGGAGAGAGAGAGAGAGACCGAGAGAGATAGAGAGAATGAGATTGAAAAGTGGACCGAAGCAGCATAAGTCTGACCATAAAGAATCACTGGACAATCGATTCAATCAAAACAGAAATGAATGAAGCATTTTTGAAATTAATTCAATGATTCGATACTTTTTGACCAAATTAATAGCAAAATTGCAACAGCTTCTTTCAGCTGTTTGGCCAGTTGCTATTTTTCTTTTTCTTTTTAACTTAAATTTAATTTTTTGCGCTTAAAGAGCAAAAGAAGCGAAATAAAATACAAATTTAATATAAAGCTATATATATAGCTAATGAGCAGTTGAATCAGTGGAAATAAATAAGCTGATTGTATATTTGAATTTATCTACTCCACACAAATATTATTCCACTTTAAGCATATAAATGTGGTTTCATTAAATAAACTCGTCTATAAAAACAGAAAAAAACTTAACCCATGCTTAACCTCTTTATAATTGCAGTTGGTTTCGCTGACTCGATATAAATCGGAAATATAGACAGCCAGACAACGTTGGCCCACAAAGTGGCTCAAATACAATTGACATTTATTGGCCAATATATATTTATAAGGTGTCCGCCCAAAGGAAGCGCCCGCCGCTACGCCAGACACAATACAAAGCGCAACTGAAAGAAAGAACTATAAAAAAAAATATATATAACAATAGTAAATAAAATTGAAGTTTGCTCTAGAACAGTCTGCATAAGCTGATCAATAAAAATCAGCTTAAT